GCTCAGCTTGCATTGTAATCAATAAAACCCCCTGCACTATTAAAAAATTATGCGGAAAAAGTTCTATAAAGTTATAATACATGGATTAAACATTTACATTTCCTAAAATGAACTATATTCAGAAGTACCAGGTGAAAATTATGTAAAGTTGAGGTAGGTAAAATTCTTTAAAGAATGACCACAAAGGTCAAAAACAAAGGCAGCTTTCTATCCTGAGGCTGACAGAATGGCTCTCACCAGAATGGCAGTGAGTAAGGTAAGTAGGGCTGTTTGCCATCAGTGAGGTGGACATTCATTACATGTGCATCCTTGAAGCAGATGTCAAGAAGTGTGCTCCAGCATATAGCTCAGTGGTAGAGAGAGCACTTACAGGCATGAGGCTGAAAGAAGAGACACACAGAAAGACAAAGATGGGGCAGGAAAAACACAGAGATAGCTAGAAATGTGCCAAGAAGACACAGATAGCCAGAAATATACACTGTGCACAAATAAACTGTGCACAATATCAGACTCAATAAAGCTGTCGGAGCTAAATAATGTCCCACACTGTGTCCGTGTGTTGTCCAGAAAACAAGAAGATAAACCAATCAAATTCCTATTTTAGTTACATATGCACCTATTATCACTTCCAAAAATCTACAGTCAATGTGGGTGAGAACTGCCAAATTTTCCGACTGTCAAATATAATTACAAAACCAAAATTTAAAAAAAGGACAAGGATTAATAATCATTATAGAAAAGCAAATAAAAAGCAAGAGGATGGCAAGGTAATAACACATATTAGTAAGAATGCAGAGATACTGGAAAACTCATACATTGCTGTTGGTAATGTAAAATGTTACAGCTAAAAGGTTTGGCAGTTTTCAGAAAATTAAACACATATTTACCATATGATACAGCAATTCTACTCTGACAAATATACTGTAACAAATTAAAAACACATTCATGCAAAGAGTTGTACATTATTGCTCATGGTAGTAATATTCTTGACTGCCAATGATTGGAAACAACTCAAAGGCTCAATAAAATATAGAGTATCTATACAGTGAGATATTATTCAACCATTAAAATAAATGAAGTACTGATGTTACCACATGGATGAATCTTGAAAACATGCTAAGTGAAAGAAATGAGACACAAAAGGCCATATATTATATGATTCCATTTAATGAAATGTCCAGAATAAGCTGCTCCAGAAAGACAGAAAGATTAGCTGTTGCCGGGACAAAGGAGAAAGGGGAAATTAAAAATGACTGCTAAAGAGCAAAGAATTTCTCTTTAGAGTGATATAAATATTCTGGAATTAGTGGTGATGGCTACACAACTTTGTGAATATTCTAAATACAATGAATTGCACACTTCAAAATAGTGAATTTTATAGTATGCTTTATAAATTACAGAATAAAAAAGAATGATGGCAAACTTCTTGACTGAAGTTATCCAAGACAAAAACAGAATGAGAGAATGGAGCAGTTAGAATCTTTAAAGTAATGAAAGGAAACAAAAGACAATCTAGAATTCTGTCTAGCAAAATTTCTTTAAAAATTGAAGAATTTAAAGATTTACTAAAACCTATAATAATCAAGACAGAAAGACATCAGAGTATGTGTAATACATGATATAGGTTAACGGAACCAAAAAGTCCAGAAACAGGTCCAGATGTATAAGTTACCTGATTTCTCAACAAAGATGTCACGTTAATTCAATAGAGAAAATATATTCTCTTTAACAAATGATCTGGAGCAAACTGGAAAGCCATATGGGTAAACATGAACTTCAACCCTTACCCTCATAATATGCAATAATAATTACTGTTCCACAGATGTACATATAATACCTATATAGAAAAATTTTTATGACAATATAGGGCAGGAAAACAGAAAAATAGTAAGTAAATTTTTAAGTTTGACTTCATCAAAATTCAGGTTTCATTAAGAAGAAAAAAAGGCCAGCCACAGACTGAGAAAAAGTATTTACAAATCACTTATGAGGTAAAGATTTGTTATGTGGAATAAAAAAAAAAAAAAAAACCTCTGGAACTCAGTTGACATACAAAACCCAATTTCAAAATGAAGAGCCCAATCAGACTTCAGAAATGGCTTAGATAAGGAGTTTAGCAAACTTTTTCCCCCAAGAGAAATGACAAAGTTCAACAAAACTGTGAAAACAATTATTTCAGAAGCTTGGAAATTGATGAAAGGCATGCCACAAGAAAGGTGTGATAAGAATGAGGGCATCTGTAGCATTTTTGCTTGAGCCTGCTCCTGTTTCCCCCTCCCCCAGCTCCCCTTGTTCTATGGCCCTGTAGTTCTACCAGGGTAGAGCAAGCTGAGAAGTTCTGCTGACTCCCTGCTGGAGGAAGTGGAACTGAAAACTTATTGTGTATGTATGGTTATGGAGCTACTGCTGGAAACAATACTGATCAAGGAGGGAAACAATCAGGGAAAGCCATGTTATAGGTAGCCTGATGGTGAGCTACTAGTTGGAGCGAGCAACAGATACGCAGAACAGCCAGAAGACAGGAGATCTAGGGAATGAGATAATAATAAGGAGAGCATATAAGGCTGCATGCATATGACCAAGCAATTCCACTTTTAGGTACTTACCTAAGACAAATGAAAACTCATGTCCAAAGTAAATGTTCCTGGTAGAACTGTATCATTCAAAAAAGGTTTAAAAAAGTGGTAACAATCCAAATCTTCATCAACCAGTGAATGGACAGGCAAAATGTGGAATCTCCATACAAGAGAATATTAAGTAAAAATGAAGAATTACTAGTATATATTAAACATGTGATCCTCAGCCACTTTTAAGTGAAAAAAGTCAAATGCAAAAGACCCCATTTTGTATGACTGCACTGTTTGCTTAGAGTCAGATAAGGGGGAAAGGGGGTGTGATAATGAGGTTTCTTTAGGGTGATTAAAATATTCTAAAATTAGAATATGCTGAAGACTATACAACTCTGTAAATATATGAAAAACCTTTGAATTGCATACTTTTAATGTGTGGATTTTATGGTACGTAAGTTATGCTTCAATAAAGCTATTAAAAATAGGATAAATAGAATAGACCTTTCATCAAAAGAGATAAAGTAATGACAAATGAGCACATTAAAAATGTTTAATGTCATTACTAGTTGTCTTAATCACTTTCTTGTCACTGGAATACTGTACCCAACACCCACAATTTAAAGGAGGAAAGGTTTATTTTGGCACATGTATCAGAAGTGTCAGTCCTTGCATGGTCAGAGGCATGGAAGATGGGAATAGTGGAGGAAAAGCTGCTTGGATCATGGCAGCCAGGAAGCAGAGTGAAGGGAGAAAACAAGGAGGGAGATACACCCTCCCAGGTCACGCCCCCAGTGACCAACCTGCCTCTTCTGATCAGGCCCTACTTCCTAAGACCACATTTGGCTATAATGCCTCCATGATTCAAACCACCCTTTAATTCAAATCACCCTGCATGTGAGTCCATGAGACTTAGGGGAACATCTAGATATAAATCGTAACACTGGTTAAATAAATGCGAACTAAAACCACAACAAAATACCACTACCCACCCACCAGAATGGCCAGAATTAAAGGCTGCAACACCAAGTTTTAGTAATAATGTGGCAAAATTGCAAGGCTGGTAGGAATATAAAACAGGATAGCCACTTTGGAAATCAGTTTGGTAGTATCATATGAAGTTAAACAAATACCACACAACTCAGCAACTTTACCTGTTTTATTGAAAAAAATTACATTACTCAAAAATTGTAAATAAATGTTCATAGCCACTTAATCCATAATATCCTCAAACTAAAAATAAACCAGGTCCTCACCAAGGAGGAGAATGAACAAAGTGTAGAATATTCACACAATGGAAAACTAAGCAAAGAAAGAACTATAGATTCAAGCAACAACATGGATGCTTCTCACAGATACTATGCTAAATAAGACTTACACAAATAAAATACATACTGAATAATTTCATCTAATATATAGCAATACAGAGCAGATCAACGGCTGTCTAGGATTGAAGGTGGATGGGTGGAAACTAACTACGTATAAAGTGACTTGAGGTAACTTGTGAGAGGTGGTAGAAATGTTGTTTTGGTTGAGGTGTTAACACAAGTATGTATGTCGGGCCTAATCCATCAGAGAGTACACTTACAGAAGTGTTTGCTACATGTAAATTATAGCCTAGTAAAATTGCCTTGAACAACCAGTGAAGAAAAAATTTGATAATACATATAACACTGTTCTGAGGAAACAGGTCTCTAGGTTAACAAATCTGGCTGGCTCCACTGTGATCGTAGCATTTGCAGTATCTGCATCTGGTTTCACCTTTGTTTCAGTAGCACTGATACTCATCAGGGCCTGGCACAAGACTGAACTCATTACCAGATGCCCTCCAAAAGTGCTTTATAATGACTTTCAGTGACTTTACTTCTTGTAAGGTCTAACACAAATGCTATTTCAGGACTGTTTCAAATATCTATTTTATTTGTTTGTTATACTATAACTGTGATTACCAATCTTTTTGCTACCAATATTGAACCATAGCTCTAGAACTTTCCTTTTTACCTATCAATGTATATGTAGTACCTTACATATATCAAACATTCAGTAGTTATATGCTAAATGGATGAACCAATATTTCAACTCATCCTGCATTCTAGTTCAAATAACTTCCTACACATTCTTCTTCAGGGTGAGACTTCCAAAGATCACCAATATAAGTTTAAGAATGAAAAGCAGACTGCAGGTACTCACATTCTTAGGCCTTAAGTGGCTTTAGAGTGACAGGTATAAGAGAGTGTTATTTTTATATCATTAACTGCTACATTTTTTATTCCTGGTTCTTAATTTCTTGTTTCCCCAGCTGCTAGTGGGAACTTAGTGAATCACTGGTAGGAGCTGCTTCAGGAGGGAAACAATGAGTATAGGACAAAGATATCATTGCTCAGTTTTGAGTACAACAGTTGAACTTTTAAATCCAAAGGAAGAGACAACAGCTTGAGATCCAAAGGGTTTATTCCAAAGGGAATACAATTTCACTGTGAAAATAAATGATCAGATCCTGGCTGAATCAGGCAGTTTATTTCATGAACCACAGAATTAGGAAGAATTCATAATAATACCAGAGTAGTTTTCTTATCCACAGTCAAGAGTTCAATCAAGCAGAAAAGAATTTAAGGGGATTTAGTCAAAGCTTCCCTACAGAGGGCTGAGACCAGTTTAGCATCTTTTCTTCCTCACGATTAGACACCCTATTTTGGCCTGTGTGGGAAAACCCTAGGATAGGATATACTACACTAGCTATACAACAGAATCACACCAGAAGATTGCCTCAGAAATACTGGCGTGGGAGTGGGGTTAAGGACTTAAAAGACTTAAAGAGTTGTCTCTGTGTTCTCCTCTTCTCTCCTGAGTTCATGTTTTTAAGAGCCAAGTGTTGAGAATCACTGGCTCCAATCTCAAAGCAGAAGTATGTAATGTCCATTTTCCTAGCATGTAGCCCAACCTTATGGATAAATTTCTTGGCAACCCCTATTCCTGACTCAATTCACCTTGGCACTTGGGCACAGAATGCCTAGGCAAGCTAAGCAGCATGTTATCAAAAAGACTTAACTCCTGCTGCCTCTCGTGTTGGATTCTGCAGTCTTCATTTTGGGAATGAAGGTCTTATGGACAAGCTTCTACAGCTGGAAAATGTAACAAAAAACCCCCAACACAACTCAACATGGAAAAAACTGAACTAGAGCTACCACCACCACTGCTCAGAAACATGCCAACTTCTATTAAATCGACCAATTAATCAAAGCCTGTGTGTCATCAAAAAAGCAGCAATCACAGTGAAAGCCAGGGTATCAATGAATGTACATAATGAATTATTAGATCTTCAATCTTCTTTAAAGATATTTTTAGTTCTCATTAAAAAAAATCAAGAATTTCCTCAATTCGGTAACAATATGGAACAAATTCTGTTTCTATGTAGTAGTTAAATCAACTTTAAAAGAGACCCAAGAGTCTTCACAATGTTGGAATTAAAAAGCCTTCAGAAATATATTCAGGTACAGACAGGAGTGGAAAAGCTTCCCAGAGTAGTCTGCTGGAACTGTGCTGTATAGTAGTCAGTGATCACCTAGCTCTTCAGCCCTTAAAATGTGGCTAGTTCCAAACAGAAACATGCTCTAAGTGCAGAATACACTCCAGATTTCAAAGACTGAAAACAGAATCTAACATGTCACCTGATAATTTTTGTATTGATTCAATGCCAAAATAACAGGTTGGAAGTTTTTTTTTTTGGTACCAGGGATCGGACTTGGGACCTTGTGCTTGTGAGGCAGGCAGTGGAACGACTGAGCTAAATCCTCAGCCCCAACAGGTTGGAAATTTAAATAGCCTAGGAAGGTTTTGCCATGCTTGAGTCCCAACAATGGAGAAGCTGTATACCATTTGACCTCCTTGATAGATATCATCTGAATATTTGGATAATGAATAACCCTAGCATTAATTTAATAACATTTTAAGTACTAGCTACCCTGAAAAATTCATAATTTATACTTATTTGGTATTTTCTGAAATATAAATTTACATTGCTAACATTGTGCGACTAGTGCACTTTCAGTTACCGAACTAGCCACAAATGACCAAGCCAATCAGAAAGTATTAAATTCTCAAACTGACTTTGTTGAAAGGCAATTTTTTTGGCTGAGTACTCTTTAAACCTCATAATAAATCTCATAAAATAATAAACAATAAACCCAAAAGTTCACAGAAAATAGTATCATAGTAATAAGGCACTACATGGCAGAATTTAAAAACTTTTATAATTACAGTATGATATTGCAGAAAAGTCATTTTTAAACATTTTATGTGGGAAATTAAATCTTAAATAATGTGATATTTATGAATAAAAGGTTTCTGACATCTTAGGATATACATTTCAGGCATTAATTTTCTATTATTCTGACAGTCCTTGCTGTCCTGAAGTCCCAAGCTATCTACAAGGGAACCTCTGAACCAACTTGGAAAAACCTGTAAAAGCTTGAATTAGTGTCCCCAAGCATATACTGTATTAGATAATCTGTGGGTAGCCTCCTTGACCCACAAGGCTATCCCACGGTTGTTGCTCCTCTAATAACTGAATATAAGTTTACCAAGTCCTCATTTCCTGTCTTTTGCGGAACAAGAAAGATCATGATGTGGTCAGTGGCAACCCATAGCTTTCCAAGAAGCAATACATCTCTTTTGGTCCTCCTCTTACCAAGTCTAACCCAATCTATCTTTAACAGCATCCATCAGGCAACAGGATCCATCTTGCCCATATATCTACTTTTACAAGACCCTGTTTCCAATCATAGATTTACATTTGCTGCAAAGATCCAAGAAGCCAGGTATAATGGAAAGGGGATGGGGTGAATAATTGAACCAAATACAAAACCTCAAGAAAATTGGCTGCATCTCAGCATCTCAATAAGTGAATCTGGGGAAGCATGGCTCCATTCTAACAGGCATCTACAGCTAAGGGCAGAAGGGACATATCACCAAGGTGGATGCTGTTAAACTAGTTCTGTGTACCTTCCTAATCATGCACTTACTCTGACAGTGCTGCCAATGTTTGGGTCTAGACACCTCCTGAACACTAATAGACTACACACATATATACCAACTTCTCCTTTCTCCTAATCTGTTCAGTAGTTAGGTCGTGGGTTCTCTCTCAAGGCTCTGATACTGAAGATCCAATTCCTTGGCCGGGGATTTAGCTTAGTGGTTCTGCCACCTGCCTCACAAGGGCAAGGTCCTGAGTTTGATCCCTGGTACCAAAAAAATAAAAGATCCAATTCCTTCATTTTAGAATTGGTATTCCTGTGTCTGGTTTTCCAGAATATTACTAGCATAATCAGCTTTTTCCAAATAGGGATTCAATCCTTCAATCTGTGGAAAACGTACAATTAGAAGCTGTCCTGGTCTTGTCTCTCATCCCTTACATGCAAATGACTGTCAGGATGAGTCAATTCTGTTCTCTAAAATTTTTAAGTTCTTCTGTCTTTGGCTTCCCTACTGTCAGTGCTTTAGTTCCACTCCGTATCATTTTGTCTGAATTACTCAAAATTTCCTAACAGGTCTCTCTGCCTCCAGTCCCATCCTTTCTACTTTAAAATGTAAACGTGATAGTCTTTTCCTGCTTAAAATCCATCAACTTTAGTTTAGTGTGCACATGATTTGCCACTTGCTTCCTTTTCCAGACAGAGTAACTCCCAAGAATGCCACACTTTTCTCAATCTTGGTGATACCCTAAAAGCCTTTTGCCTTGGGAATACCCTCTACAAAATTCTCAATTGGTATGTTCCTTTACCACATCCCCAACAGCTATATTCTATTTGTTCTTAAAGACTTAATTATTTTGTTTAGTCTGAGTTTCACAACTCTGTGTACCTTCAAAATACCTTGCGTGTATGTTTATAAGAGCCATCTGTTACTCTCCATTTTATGCTTGTTTAGTTATTTGCTTTACCTACTAAAAATTAAGATTGTAGGCTGAGGAAGGAGGATTACAAGTTTGACTACTGCTTGGGCAACTTGGAGAGATTCTGTCTCAAAATTTAAAAAGGGAAGGGTCTAGGGATATAGACCTCCAGAACAGAGCACCCAATTCAAAGCCCAGTATCTCCAAAAAAAAAAAATTAAGTTCATAAAGGTCAGCTATCTTTCATGTCTATATTCTTGGTACCAATGGTGCAAAGAATCAAAGAATGCTTCATATACAATTGTTGGAAGGGTAAAGTCACTAGATTTTAGACAAGAATGAAGTCAAAACCCCTAATGTTCTCTAGTACATGTTGGCTTCTTTAAACCTGAGAGTTAAGGTCTTAGATACTACTATCATACTTCCTGAATGAACAAAGTAATAAAAATTATTCATAAATAGGCACAGATATTCTTACTTATGCTAACCACTAACACTATTAAGAGATTATTACACTACTGGTCTTGCATACCTTTCCATAAAATTCAACAAGCCTAATGTAGGAAGGTGAGGCACAGAAAAATTATCTTGTTCGATATCCAGAGATGGTAAAACTAGGCAGTCTGGCTCCAGAACCCAGGTTCTTAATCACTATACTACTAAGCTCAATACCTTCTGTATCATAAAAACTATGCTTTCAAAGAATTATACTCTTCTTCTAAAATACAATGGCATGTTACTAAATAAAACAAATTTTAAAAGTTGTGACTATGCAGTAGCAGAATATCCCTACCTAAAACTTAACAGCTCTCTAGTCATATTTCAATTACAAATTTACAGTCAGGCCTTACATTAGAAATGTCACAGTACCTTTACTTACCGTTAAGGTAATGAAGAAATCTTTTTCTATTACCACTATAGTCACTCTTAAGCTATTACATTTCAACATTGAGTTTTAAATTTAATTTTGTGGTAATGGGTATGCAAAAAATAAAGAGGCTATAACATCAATTTATGCATGGTAAGTTCAGCATTCAGATGTTTCTTAGTTTGTTTCTTACTTTAATTATAATGTGCTGTAAACTTAAAACTGTAAGGAAGATATGACAATTTTCCTCAAAAGCATCCTCTCTTATTTTCTGCTTCTAAATAAGAGGATAATTTAACAAGATCATTTGGAAGTCTTACTAATATATCAATGAATTGTTCCATTTTAGTTTATAACATACTAATACCAGTTGTTCCCAATACGTTTTCTCTGCTTCTTGTGATTGATGCTTTTGACACCTTATTCAACAGAAAAATACTTTCTAATACAGAAAACTAAGAGTTATCACAGAAGAGTTGTGGAAACCATGAGTAAAGCAGTGGAGGTAAATATGTATTATTACCATGATTTTCCAACATAAAAAGTCATAACAAAGAAATGTAATGAACTGATAATATCATCACATTTCAATATATCTTTTGTATCTCCCTATGGAGTCTGATAACTATACTACATGCATACAAGTACTCAAGAATGACAAATAATGAAACATTTTTGAGAGTCTGGTACCCAGGTTTACCGAAAATAGGATGCAAGCAGAACTGTAAGTTAAATTGGTGCCTATCAATTTCAACATACTTAATCAGAATATGCAGGCATGAGCACTTAGGAAGACTTAAGTCATTTCTGATGCCAAGAATTGGGGTCCTGACAGGTGGCTCACTGTCCAGGTCAGAGCTAAAAAAACAATGGTGGTTAACAGACACTACAGTACTAATTTTTTTTTCATTTATATCTGGCATGCTAGTTCACACCATGCTGTTCTTTGCTTCTCTATAGACAACCAACAAAAATCTATCTTCTTAGTAACTATTGGTCTAAAATTGATATCTTAAATATTTGAAAATAAACCAACTCTCCTACATAAAGTAATGTTGCCTTTCCAACTAAATATTAACCTATCTAGTTTTCTTCAAAGCCTTACTGTTCTCAGAAAATTATCTGACTAAAGAGACCAGGTATTTTCCATTTAATACAGGAATTCTGTTTCCTAGCTTACACACGGCATTTACAGAATATAGTACTCAACTTATTGGTGAAATTACTGTCAAAAAAAAAAGTTTTACCAGCTGTTCCTCATCAGTACTAGGAATACACCAAGTAGCCATTTCCTCTAAAGAAAACAAATTAGCAATTCAGTTTCAGAATGAAAAGATGTAAGTAAAAAAGAAAAGACAGTAGATAGTAAAAATGTAACAACAGTTAACACAGCAAAACAAACAAACAAACAAAAAACCCAGAAGTTACATTCCTCAGGAAAAATAGGCAAGTGAGCCAAAAATAAAGTAGTTGACATGCTAGAATACTTTGAGTTAAGAAAATATCTATATAATAACAAGGAACACTGGAACAAGGGACACTTCACATTTAATCACTGTCAATATATACTGAGTTTGCCTCAGAGTAAATCAAAATTGCAAGAAAACAGCTCAAATAAACTAGAAAACTTCAGCAACAAACTGTACTCATGTTTAATAAGCACCAATTACCCTTAAGTAGTTGTTTTATATGGTTCCCAAAAATCTGATTTATATGAAACCTCTGTGAAGAATAAGATGATTTGGATATTATTATCAATGTACAGTGTGGTTACCAATGGCATGTTAAATTCAATTATTCTTGAATTTTAAAAGTTTCATGCTTTGTTCAAATATAGCTTATTTTTAGGAAAATTGCACTCTTCCACTCTCCAATTCAGTACATAAAAGTAGGTAATATTTACACTGAATGTACAACCTTTTTAAAGAAATATCCTGTTTTGCAATAAAATATTTATCTAAATGATTGTTCTCAAACTTCACTATACTCAAACTTTAGATTATAGCCATGAGTCAAATAAGCTCTGAAAAGAGTTCTGTTGTTTTCACTAATGCATTCAAACTGAAATCTTTTTGAAATACTGTACATCATGTAGATATGCTGAGCATGGGCCTCAGTCATTGTTGGGCTACATTCTAGTGAAATATCTACTGGGTGAGAAATGAAATCATCGTATAATATTTAAAGAAATGTAAGACTTGCACTAAGAAACTAAAACCCATATACATACTATGCAAGCTAAACAATTAGACTTTTTCAGCATTCTTTCCACTATCACAAATGAGTTACAGAAACCAATGTTTACATTTCAGTCATAAACACTGCTCTTGAAATAATCTATCATCTGATTTGTGGCTAAATCTGAAAACCATATTAAACCTATGGCTAGTCTATTTCTCTGGCAAAGAGCCCAGAGTAAGACAGAATAATTTTACTTTCTCTTAAATTCTGGCAAGAGGGAAGGGGAACCATTATCAAAGTAGGATGAGTTAAAATTGGCAATAAATCCGTTATGGACAAGAGTGGCACTAAAGTGAAATTCAAGAACATATTGCTTTCTATATACGCAAGTAGAACCTTACTGGAAGATGAGTATTTACAAAGATTCTAGAAAGCTATAACCATCTTGATTACCTAGGCTTTCAATCTTTATTGTGTCACCACCATAATATTTTGTCATCAGTAGTTTCACCTGAACATTTAAATGCCTAACTAACATCATTTTATGCCCTACTTCTACTATCCAGTGACTGCATATAGATTCACAAATATTATAAGTGATGTTATATACACTATCACCTATATACTTTTCAGAATAATGACTGACTTTGAATAAAAACTGGAGCATTTGAGTTTTTAAAACTTTCTTTTCAATTTCTAAATTATTCTTTTTTAGGATGCTGCTGGAGACTGAATTTAAAGTAAAAATGCCAATTCTGAAAATCCTAATGAAAAAAGGGTTGCTTTAAAAAGACTAGTAAATACTGTTCTAGACAAATGTAATGATCAAGTAGCACTTGACTGGCAAACACTGAACTTTCTTCAAAACCACAGGAGCTTCTATTGTAGCAGCTGCAGCACAGAACTCTATGACAGAGGCTAAATAGGACAAGGAGAAGGAAAAGTCAACTTAAGCCAATACAGTTCAAAAAGTAAAGTTAACGAGTAAGTTACATCAGAAAATCAACTTCCAGGAGAATGTAAGCAGTTAATTACCACAACTGTAATAAATCTCTTAAGAATGGAAGACAACAAAGTAATTCTTATTACAACAATATACCAGTGGTAGATGACAAATTATTCACATTCTAAGAGGTTTTCCTTGGGGGAATTATGACAGGGAATGTGAAAGCTTACAAAACTGAAGATGTAAAATAAAATAAATTCAAATTAAGATTTCATAACAGAAAAACGTAAGGAAATAGTATTTCCCTTGAGGGAAGAATAATTTTCCACAACTGGTTAAAAAAGCACCTATGAAACTGTGCTGTCAGCTGTCACAATGGAGGTTTTTGGATTCTTTTAGCAATTGCAGCATAACAAAAGGCATTTCACAGCACAACTTTAGGGAAAATGTTATCTAGTCTAAAATAACACAGAAAACAATTAAAAATCTTTTAATTATTCATAAAACACAAATTTTTCTAGGTAGCAGCAGCTCCTCCTGTAATTGCCCTTTTAAAAAATATGAAACAGAAGCAACAGAGACAAAGGAGGTTAAGAGTAGCAGTGTTAAAAAAGCAAATACTTAAGTACATTAAGGAGAGTTAAAAATAAGGAAACACTACTGTGAAACTTTCAATTATACCAAGTAAAGTGCACTGCCTAAATACTCACTGATAACATTTTCCCTATGTTGAAAATGCAATCTACTTATTAGTAATTTTGATATTGAAAAAAGACATTCACTAATATAGCCCTGATAGCTATCTTCCAGTATTTTACCATTCAGATGTATTTTTAGGGAATATTTATTCACATAATTTTGCTTAACACATTTCTTTCTTCACAAAATGAATTAAAAAATCTCTACAACATTTTCAATTACAGTAACATCAATAAATTATAAATTAACAAAATTTTTGTATTTGCTTTAAAAATCATTTATCAAATGCTAAATTCCAGATTATTTGGAAAATTAAATGTAAATTGCTATAAATCTGGAATCCTAATTAAATTCTAACTTTTAAAAGTATATAAAATGTCCTTCTAATTATTTCAAATTCCACTCCAGAAATTTTTATTTGACCCTTTTCATAAGTTACTAAGTTTACAACCTGCTAAAAATTTTACCCAAATGTGGGAACTAGAGATGCAAAGCTCACCAAAATAATTATGTATATGAAAAGAACAAACAAAAAAATACCCGTTAAAAGAAAGTTACTGTAGCTGGCAGCACTTAAAATTGGTAATCATAGTTTTTAAAAGTTGCATAGTTGCAAGATGATTTGCTGCTAACTACTGAGCAGTTTCATTTAGAAGAAAACAATATTATTTCATAAACTGCAACTGTATATTTAATTACTTAAAATGTAATTGTGTAACTTGATTTGCTCTTTGGACAGCATCCTGGTAATATTAAACCTTTAATTTAAAAATATTAACATATTTTAGCTTTCCTATGTAGAAATCTATTTTCCATAAATGGTGAAAAAAATGGAAGAACTTGAGATCATAGGCTACATTCAGAGAATGTTTTACTGCTTGATTAATTTCTTGTTTTTCACATTTAAGAATTTAGTTTATAAGAAGTAAATTGTGTTGTTTTTAATTTAAGAATAGATGAATGCAGAAACATTATGTTGGGGGAAATAGACCCCAAACTAAAAAAACAGAACATATCAAAACAAAGCTAGTTGCACAGCTCTAGAAAACTGAATAAAAAGTAAATCACCTTTTCAATCAGTTAACTTTGGCGTCTGAATACAAAATGTTGATCAGTATTAACTATGCAGATGACTACTGAGGGATGTGCAGCATTTTCAAAATCCCTGTGTGTCCCTTATATGCAAGTTTGGTACACTGAGTTCTGTGGTTACTGTCCTGTCTTCAGCAGGGCTATTTTCCTGTATGATTGTCCATCTTTGTATTACCATGTCTCATAGAACTCAGATTTCTGGCTGAATAAGCCCACATTTTTGTTTTTCAGAGAGAGATTCTCAAGTCCTCTAGATTTTTCAAGCATCCTGAAAAGACAAGAAAACCTGTGTAAAAATAAAAAAATTTAACTTAAACTATGGTCCATAATAGCAACACAAATAAAAAAACAACATTCATTTCCTTATGAATACTGAGTCACTGTAAAATTTAATACCTTTACTATTCTAAAAACTCTTAGTGTTCTGTAAAGGAACAGTTTAAGACACAAAAGGACCGGTTAAAGCTTAATATATCACCAAAGTCAGTCAATACGTAATGGTCACTTCTCTTCCACACTAAAAACCACCCAAGTAACAAATATTTACATATACAAACATTTTTTTAATTTTTAAGAATTTCTCTCAAATAACTAAAAATCCCCAAAATAAAAAACAGTAAACAATTTCCTGATTAAGACCTCATATATCTATGTATTTCTGTTTTGAGCTGATAAATTCTTATGCTGACAGATGTATATTGCTTTCTTTTTAATGTTTTAACAAGAACCCTCTTTAAATCTGTATGCTTTTTAACCTAGGACGTATGTAAAGAGTTAATCAAATACAAGTACTTATAACAGAAGCAAAAATGTAAGTGAAGATATTCCATGTCTATAAATTCTTTTTTTTTTGGTACCGGGGATCGAACTCGGGTCCTCTCGCTTGTGAGGCAGGCGGCGGAACCACTGAGCTAAATCCCTGGCCCCAT